CCAACTAGACATTGAGCCTTTAACTACTACATTCTGTGTGATGACATAGGCAGTTTTCTGTCCACCTTACAATCCATTCATACAACCCATACTTCTTTAGCTTGCCTACAAGAATGTGGTTGGAGATCATATCAAAAGCCTTGCTAACATCAAGTTATACCACATCCACTGTTTCCCCACATCCACCAAACCAGTCATCCCATCATGGAAGGAAATCAGATGAGCCAGGCATGACTTGCCCTTGGTGATTCCCTGCTGACAGTTTCTAATCACTTTCTTCTCCTCCAAGTGATTAGAAATAGATTCCTTGAGGACCTGCTCCATGACTCTTCCACTGACTGAGGTGAGGCTGACCAGTTTGTAGTTTCCTGGATCCTCCTTCTTCCCTTTCTTAAATATGGACACCTTTTCCTATCCTCTGCAACCTCTCCTGATCTGCACGAGATTTCAAAGATGATGGCCGGTGGCTCTACAATAACATCAGTGAGCACCCTAAGTATCCTCATGTGAATCCTCTCCAACCCCATGGCCTTATATATGTCCAGCTTTTATAAATAGTCCCTAACCTGTTCATCTGAGTGCCATAGGGAATAAAGACAGATTTGGGGACACTTCTGGGGGCATGGGTGGGGGAGGGAAAATTACAGTGCTCAGTTTATGTTACCACAGAGTTGATTATGTTTTTTACCTGTTTCCTTCCTTTGGGCCATTGGCTTCTGACTCTAACCCCTATTCTAATATAATAAAAGCTTTGCTTGTGTAAAAAAAAATGGGAGGAACACTTTAAAAGTGGCAGGGCCAGCTAAGGAAAAGCAGGAGCCTCTCTGTTATAGTGGGGTCAGACCCAAAGAGCAGGGTTGGACCTGAAGTTTCATAGATTTCACAGACATTAGGGCTGGAAGGGACCTCAGAAGATCATCGAGTCCAGCCCCCTGCCCAAAGGGTAGGAAGTCAGCTGGGGTCATAGGATCCCACCAAGATAAGCATCCAGTTTGCTCTTGAAGGTGTTCAATGAAGGCGCTTGAACCACCTCCGGTGGCAGGCTGTTCCAGACCTTGGGGGCTTGGACAGTAAAGAAATTCTTCCTTATGTCCAGCCTGAAACGATCTTGAAGTAGTTTATGACCGTTCGACCTAGTCGTCATCCCTTGGGGCGCTCTGGTGAACAGACGTTCCCCCAGATGCTGGTGGTCACCCCTGATAAACTTATAAGTGGCCATCAGATCACCCCTGAGCCTGCGCTTTTCCAGGCTAAAGAGCCCCAGGGCTCTCAGCCTGTCATCGTAGGGTCTGATTCCCTGACCTCTGATCATGCGTGTGGCTCTTCTCTGCACTCTCTCAAGATCATCAAGTCTGACCCCCTGCCATGGCAGGAAAAGTAATGCGGTCAAATGATCCTGATGACATGTTCATCCAGCCTCCTCTTAAAGACCCCCAGAGTAGAAGCCAGCACCACTTCTCTTGGAAGTTAATTTCAGATCCTAGCCACCCTGACAAAGAAGTAGCACCTCCTGATGTCTAGTCTGAATCTACCCTCTGTCAGCTAGTGACTGTTATTTCTTGTCACTCCTGGAAGCGCTCAGGGGAACAGGGACTCCCCCAATGCCTGCATGTCTCCCCTGACTAGTTTGTAAATGGCCCTCTCCTCGTAGGGCCTGCTGTGCTGACCCCTGATCATGTGGGTGGCCCTCCTCTGGACCCTCTCAATGTTGCCCACATCCCTCCTGAAGTGTGGTGCCCAGACCTGGACACAGTACTCCAACTGCGTCCTGACCAGTATCGCATAGACGGGGAGGATCACCTCCTTGGGCCTGCTCGAGATGCATCTGTGGATGCATGACAAGGTATGGTTGGCCTTCCTGACCGCGTCCCCACACTGTCGGCCCATGTTCATTTTGGCATTAATAATGACTCCAAGATCCTTTTCTGCCTCTGCACTGACGAGAAGGGAGTTCCCCAGCCTGTAGGTGTGCTGCTGGTTCTTCCTCCCCAGGTGCAGCACCTTGCACTTGTCAGTGTTGAAACCTATCCTGTTCTCATCTGCCCACCCCTGTAACCTGTCTAGGTCTGATTGCAGCCTATTCCTCCATTCTAGCATGCCCACTTCTCCCCACATCTTACTGTCATCTGCGAATTTGAACAGGGTGCTTTTTAAACCGCTGTCCAACTCACTGATGAAGATGTTGGAAAGTGCGGGCTCAAGGACCAAGCCCTGGGGGACCCCACTGCCCACATCTGTCCAGGTCAAAAATGACCCATCCACAGCCACTCTCTAGGTGCAGCCCTCCAGCCAGTTAGTGACCCATTTGGCTGTGTAGGTGTCGATGCCACAGTCCCCTAGTTTTTTAATGAGAATGGGGTGAGAGACAGTGTCAAAGGCCTTCCTAAAGTTCAGAAAGACTACGTCCACTGCTACCCCTGCATCTAAGGATTTTGTGACCTGGTCACAGAAGGCCACCAGGTTGGTCTGACAGGACCTGCCTCAAATGAACCTGTGTTGGTTGTCCCTAAGCATAATCTCCCCTGCCGGCCCCTCGCGGACATGTGCCAGGGTAAAGCTCTCAAAAAGCTTACCCAGGATTGAGGTAAGACTGACTTGCCTATAGTTTCCTGGGTCTTCCTTCCTCCATCTTTTGAAAATGGGAACCACATTGGCCCTTTTCCAGTCCTCTGGCACCAGGCCAGAGCACCATGAGTGCTTGTAAAGCCGGATGGGGAGCCAGTCCACTCCCAATCCCACCACTCCAGGTCCGGATCCACTCTACCCATCTGTGCCACTCTGTGTCTGGTCCTGCTCCACCCCCCACTTCATGTCCTCCTGGCCCATGTCTGCCTCCCTCCCTCTCTGCCCACTGCCACCCCTCCCTACAAGCTGTTCTAGGGTGCATCGGGGCCAGGTGTAAGGGGGGCATTGCCACCATGATCCTCTGACTTCACCATCAGGCAGGGAGACAGGGCAAAGACCCTGTGCTCAGGTGGCTAGGACTTGTTTGCCATTGCCATAAACTTCCCCAGCAGTGGCACAAATTTGCACCCATGCAGCCAATCTCTGCCTGCCCTCTTGGGGACATGTGCACAGTTAGCCAAAAGTGTTATGGACAAACAGACACACAGAAAGACACACAGCACATGTGTAGATGACACAGGAGTTAATATAGAGCAACTTAAAATTTTAACATGGCTTTTTTTTGGTGGGTTGCATCTTTGTTTGCACAACAGAGTGTATGTGTTTGCAGTAAAGGCACTTTTGAGTGAGTTAAGCCTGTGTGTCATTCCTTGCGGATTTTAGTACGGGGACTTAAATACCAATTTACCCCCCGTAATGTCTTTCCTAATGCATTACAGCAGGAGGTGCATAAACCACCTGGGCTCCCCAGTGCCTGTCCTCAGACTCACACTGGGCAGTCCTGACTCTCATGGGAGTTTCCCCTGGGCACAGTCAGGGTCACCCCAAAATCTTTTGACTTGCACATTGCTATGCTCAGACAGTCTGGTCTCTCTCCATCAATACATAATCCCAAACACCCCATCCCAATCCCAAAGACAAGCCACATGAATCCTCCCCTCCCATTCCTTTCTCTTCCCATCTCACCATGTTACAAATATATGTTTTTTTTTCTTTTATTTACTAAAGTTGCTATGATAACTTCTATGATATCATAAACTATTCAGGGTTTAGAGTAGCTGGTGGATGGGTGAGTGTCTCTTGCAGCCTGGTTGACTGGCGATTGCTGCCAATGTTGGTGGTGGTTGTAAGTTATTCTTGGGGGGTTTCTGGGGTTTTTTTTGGACTACATTTCCCAGAATTCCTGAGCTCATTGATCTTTGTACAGTTTCCAAAGGGAGCTCCCATTGGAACCCTCCCATTACCTGCCCAGGTACACTCAATCTGTTTGTGTAGTGCCACATATGGCTTTTGGAGGTGTGTTGTAAATTCTTTTATAAATGTTTTTGGAATAGTTTTCAAAATGTGGGTTGCTGTTTGGCTTGGTCCCCCATCTGCCTAGCCCACCAAAAGCTATAATATTTAACCTCTCATCTACATGTGTGGGGGAGGGCTCATTCATATGTGGGTGACAGTGTGTAATGCCCCCCTCCCCTAAACCACTCAAAGGCTGGAAGCAGCAAATCCCTATCCTAGGCCAGATTTTCTCCCATTTCCCCTGACTATCCTCCCTTCCACCCCTGCCTGGAACACCACACGCCCCTGTAGACAGACAGCAATTTAAAGTGTATATTAATTTATTTTAACATAACCAAGAAAAAGAACAAAGCACTCCTAGGTGGTGTTGTTAGCAATATATCCTGCACAAGGGCCACCCAACCAACCTCTCGTTGAGGATAGATCCTCAGTCCCTGTGCTGCTTCTGCTGCCCGGACACGTCTCTGTTATCTGGCCACAGCCTGTCATGCTTCTTCCCACAACTCCTCCAAAACATCTCCCTGGCTCTCACAGATATTGTCCAGTATGCAGGCTGCCACTAAAAAGGCTGTGATATTTCTTGCTTCATCTTGAGCCGGCACATAAGTTCCCTCCATTGTCCTTTCAGTCAGCCAAACACAAACTGCATGGCCATCCTGCAACTGCTCAGACGGTAGTTAAAAAATAGCTTCTGCAGGTCATTGACATTCCCTCCATAAGGCTTCATGAGCCACAGCTATAGGGGGTAGGCAGTATCCACTAATATAACCAGGAAAATGGCAACACTGGATCACTGTCTCCTCTGCACTGGGTACATAGTGTCCTTTCTCCATGAGGCCAGGCAAAGGGGACTTTCTGAACAAAGCCCAGTCAAATTCCATTTCTTCATTTTCCTCTGTGCATTACAAGTCCGCTGTGTACCTGTAACTTCTTCTTATTGTCATTAATGTTGTTAAACCAGGAACTGAACTTGCCAGTGAACACTGTACCTATCCTTCCCAAGCATTGCAGCAGCAATCCACAGGTAAACAGCATTTGCAGAAGCAGTACTGTCATCTCATCCTCCTCCTCCTGCTCACCCATGTCCTCCATATTCTCCATGTTGGAGGACTCTTCAGTGTTGTTCTTCATTGTCATGTATTTCATCCTCATTCTCCATTTTTCCCCCTCTGTCAACAGTGGCTTCCCACCTGTCAGCACCAAGCTGGGGGCAGGAATTCTAGGGTGTTGTGTGGTCTGGTGCTTGGTGTAGCTGTTTTTTCAATACTTCACCCTGGTACCCCATGGCATTGGGGCTTTTGCACATCCTTTCTTCCTTCATCCTAAGCTTAGCAGACACTGGTGCTCTGATGTAATCAAGCTTGCAAGCAAAAAATGTTTTGCCTACTCCTCTCCTGCCTACACCTCTCCTGGTCATGTAGGCTACTCAAAACTTTTGCCACTTTAGGGAAAACAGGCTGTGCTTCTGTAATAAAATTATTTTGCACAAGGAGGCAGGTAGGTATCATTTTTTGCAATGTTCCAGGCCATTGAATAGCAATCTCAAAATACAGTGGCCTTACTTACCTCATCACCAGGACTTTTTTTTATTGTTAAACTGAGTGCTTCATCACCTTTGGGTGTTTTAACACTTACAAGTAATGACTTCACAATCCTTGGAATTTCCCCAGACCCTCATGCAAGCACAGCCTGAGTATAAAGGCACCCCCCCTCAAACAAAAATTGCCAGTCCCCTTTCATAAATCACTTGTGCTGTTGACCACAAACTGCTTTGCCATGTCTCAGAAAGCCAGGGCTAACAGTATGGAGCTTATGGCCCAGGGAATGGATACCTCCAACACCTGTGGATCCAACTGCACCTGGGAAGAACTGGAGGACTTAACTGACATTTGGTCAGAGCAAAAGATAATAAACAGGCTGTAAAGTAGGAGGAATAAGTCTGTTTATGTAGATCACAAAAAGCATGCAGGCATGAGGGCACAATCATGACTGGAACCAGGTCTGGTACAAGGTCAAGTCCCTGAGATCAGCATTTTACAGAGCCAAAGAGATGAGCTCTTGTTCTGGGGCACAACACACAATTGGTCCCTTCTATGAAAAGCTATCCATCATTCTCTCCAAGGATGCAGGTGACAATGCAGGTATGGAAACTTTCAGCACCGGGGTTGGGCTGGTGGAGGGGGAGGTAGAGGAGGAGGAAGAGGAGGCAGCAGTAGCCCTTCCTGAGAGTGAAACCATGAGCAGCATTTATTATCTGTATGGAGACTTCTCCCTGCTCTCTGATGACCATGAGTGGCAGGATGAACCATTGCAACATACACGTAGTGCCACTTAGCCCTGCTCCACAGACTAACACAGATAATGAAGCAGAGGAGGTGGAGGGTTAGGAAGAAACCCAAGCAGAAAATACATCATCTACTGTTACTGAGACCCAAGAACATGCTCAACTTGGTAAGTCTCTTGTCACATTCCTCTTGCCACTGCCAGGCAACTCACGAGTTCGTGCTGGTTGGGTTTGGGGAGCCAGGGGGAGGGGGAGAAATTCATGTGTTGCTGTAGGTAGGTCACCATGTGCTTTCTGTGGTGGTGCATGACAGGTTTGATAGCTCATAATATAACAGATGCCGAACTAATTATTTGCTTTAATCATTTTTTTGCAGCTAGCATGGGCAGTGTCAGCTGTGGACCTGTTTCCAAAGCTAGTACTTGTAAGTTTTGGGCTGCATGAGTGGTGCCCCACTATTGCTGGGTCTGTTTCTATGCCTTCCATCATTTTGTATACTGCATAAGGAGGGGCCTGAACTTTCCTCCTCTTGGGGGAAAGGCAACCGTTGCTTTTTTCTTTGTTTATCAGCCACTGTGACCCACGGCTGCCAGGAATGGCACCCCACACACACTACAGCAGACAGCTGCAGAGATTTTTGCAGCAAGCAGGCACGGTCCCATGAAACCTCACTCAAGGTTTTGGTGGACTTCTTAGTAGCCAGAATGGGATGTGCAGATGCCTGGCAGAGCAAACTCCATGAGCCGTTGCATAAGGATGCTGCCATCCTCAAGGAAGTGCAAGACACCATGCGGAATTTCAAAGATGTGGTCGACTAGTCCCATGTTGAATTACAGGGGCACAGGGGACTTTCAAAGATGGCTTTCAGAGTGTGCAGAAGTACCTCTTAAATATATGGGTACCACACATGAAAGGGCAAAGTCAATCCGCTTTTCTTGGCTCTGTGCAAAACGAGCAGAGAATTACAGCCAAGCCTGTTCCCCGTAACCACTGGGGTCACAGGAGGTCCATATCACTTCCAGCAGGGCCAGGAGGGCACCACGGAGTTTCAGGGAGACAGGGGCAGTTCAGGGTCATAGTGGGGTGAAGGAAAAGAATCAAAAGAAACTATGATAGTGTGTTGCAAACAAAAAAACCTCATGGGTTCCTGGCTTCCTGTGTCTGCCTCCATACCCACTAGGGCTGTGTGAAGCTACAGTCCCTGATTCAATTCAGTGGAGATTCAGCCTGATTCAGTCACCAAATCTCTGAATCTGAATTGAATTAAAGGACCCTTTAATCTCTCTGAATTGAATCAGAACCCTCTTAATTGATTCAGAGAGATTTGGAAAGATTCAGAAATTCAAATATACACACCTTAAATGTTCTTCCTGTCCACTTCCGATTTTGCTGCTGAGCACATGGTGTGTCCCCCCCCACCCGGCACTCCTGCAGGATGCACCCCAGCATCGCAGTGTTCACAAGCCATGCTGGTACCTCAAGGTAGGTAGAAACAACATTTAAAGCTGCATCTATGTCTGAATTGCTGATTGTCCAAATCATCATGAATCTTCAGATTTGGACTTGACTGAATCAAATCAGAGACAGTGATCTGAATCAATGAATCACTGTCCCTGATTCAGGCCAAATGCGAATCCAGATCAAATACGGCCTGCTTCACACTCCCCTAATATCCACTCTTACATTTCTTAGTTGTGAAGGTGGATTTTGTTCATTGTTTGGGTTCATTTATCTGTTTGTTTTTCCTGCTGCTTGCTGCATGGTGCCAGGGGGAAGAGGCTGGCAGTCTCTCTGGCACAGGTACACAGAGGGACTCCAGAGGTAAACAGGAGGGCTGCGTGGGTGGATCACACCAGTATTTTGTAAAGGCAGCACCCACTCTGAAAAGTCACTCTTGAGGCTATGCTTACTTACTGCTTCTGATTTCACCTCCCTTAGTTGGGAGAAAGGGAGTAGTGTCTTACCCCCCAGCAGACTGGTTTGCTTTTTTGCAAGCCACCAGCCACTTTGCACAGTTGCTCCCAGGAGCTCAATTCTTCCCAAGCTATTTGGCTCACCCTTCATAACCCTTGCATTTTCCCTAGATGGAAACTTTCAAAATGCACTTTTCCAAGATTCTTTTCATGCTCTTCTAGGGATGTGGTTGTCATGGAAGACCTAAACTACCCTGACATCTGCTGGGAAGAGCAGTCAGCCAAATCCAACCATTCACACTGGTTCTTAACCTGCACGTAGGACCTTCACTTAATGCAAGAGGTATATGGTCCCACTAGGAGGAATGTCTTACTGTATTTGGTGATGGCTATGGGGGAGGACCTGGTAGGGGAGCTGCAGATTTGTGGTCACCTTGGGGACAGTAACCACCAATCAGTTGAATTCACCTTATGGCATAGGGCGGGTAAGATAACTAGTAGAGTGACAGTGCTTGACTTTCAGAAGGCTAACTGCAGTGTGCTTAGGAGTCTAGTCAATGACACTGCAGGATAAGAGTATTGGAGAGATGGGAGTCCAGGAAGGGTGGTCTTTTCTAAAGGAAGCAGTCCTTTGGACACAGAGGGAGACTATCCCAGTACAAGGGAAAAGGAGCCAAAAAACTTCTTTGGCTAAACAGGGAAATACAGGGGAGCCTAAGGGCAAAAAAGAAGTCATATAAGCCGTGTGTGCCCATCTCTGTTCGATGTTCTGTTCTCATGCCGCCTTGGCATGGGCGGCTGGCCTTGAGTGCCAAGTAGCTGTGTGTAAACCTCAGAGAGTTCCTTGATCACTGTGGCAGAGCACAGGGTGTCTCTGCCACTTTAAGGGCCTGGAGCTGGCAGCCTCCAGGTGCCTGATTAAGGCAGCCATTTTCAGGCTTAGGCTGCTTATATAAACAAGGCAGTTTGGCTGTAGGAGGCCAGGCAGCAACATTGCCTGGCTGTAGGGTTGTGGTGAATGACCTGGAGGTAAGAGGGCGTTGCAAGGGGTTGGTAGGAGGTTCCTGGGCATGACCTGAAACTGCACCCTGCTGGGAGTGGGTGGCCTGGTGGGGCTCTCAGTGGCGTGGGAGCCCCCAGGAAATGCCAGGCCAGTTATCACCCTGGTGAAAGGTGGTCAGGGCACCTTAACCCCTAGCTCCTACCACCACTGGGTGGGTTACCTATGAGTTTGTTGGAGGGCCTAGATGGGCCAGTGTTGTGAGGGGCCCAGAGAGGGCGGACCCCGAGAGTTGGAGTGATGTGGGTGTGGTGCTGCGGTTGCCCTGAGAGGACGGGGAGTAGTGGCACGGTGAGGCCTGGAGACAGAGTGAGCGGCAAGAGAGACCCAGCCCGAAGGGAGTAGTACCCTCAACTGGCCCATGCTGGGGCCAGGACTACGATAATCAAAAGGGCTGGGGGCCCACCGTGAGGGACACCCAAGAGCTGGGGGCCTGGGGTCCTGACTGGCCTGGAGGTGGGCCAGGGCCAGGGCCAGGTAGCCGAAGGTTCTGGGGGAACCACACCCAAGAGGGGAACTTGGTTTCGGGGGGGCTAAGTAGCCTGGATGATGGCGGAGTGGCTGCCTGATCAGAGAGGGGGCCTGTTTGGGTGGTTCTTGGGGCCCCGGTGGGGGCCGG